CCCTGTATCCACAGGTTCTGTGTCTCTCGAATACTGTATTTTCCACCCCAAATTGATTGAATTTGTGGATGCAGAACCCAAGGATACATAGGGCCAACTATAACTGCAAATTAAAACAATAATGAGCTACCACTACACACCTATTAGAATGGCCAAAATCCCAAACACTAACACCACTAAATGCTGACAATGATGTGGAGCAACAGGAACTCTCCTTCGTTATGTGGGAATACAAAACAGTATAGACATTTCAAAAAACAGTTTGGCAGTTTCTTACAAAATTAAACACACTCTTGCCATACAATCCAGCAATTGCACTTCTTAGCTTAGTATTTACCCAAATGAATGGAAAACATATGTACACACAAAAACCTGCACACAGATGTTTATAGTAGCTTTATTCATAATTGCCAAAACTTGGGCATAACCAAGATGTCCTTCAGTAAGTGAGTGCTAAACTGTGATACATTCAGATAACAGAATATTATTCACTGCTAAAAAGACATGAGTTATGAAGCCATGAAAAGACATGGAGGAAACTTAGTGCATATTACACTAAGTAAAAGAAGTCAATCTGAAAAGGCTATAAAAATTGAGCATCCCTAATCTGAAAATCAGAAATTCAAAATGCTCCAAAATCTGAAATTTCCTGAGGGCCCACTTGATGACCCAAGAGGAAATTAAAACAATAACGAGTTACCACTACACACCTATTGGAATGCCCTAAATCCCAAACACTGATACCACCAAATGCTGGCAAGGATGTGGAACAAGAGCTCTCCTTCATTGTATGAAAATACAAAACACAAAAATTCCACATGGGACTTCACCTCATGGGTCACAATAAAAACACTGGCACATGCTATTTAGTTTATTCAACTTGCCATTGTTTGTTGTTAACAGCTGGCACAGGTGCACTGGTGATACTACTGTGCTGCTTACCCTGAACACATTATTTTTCACTGTAATAATGGTATGTCACATTTTTTACTGTTAAGTGCTTATGTGCAAATCAGTGTAAGAAAATGATTTGCTTATTGGTAGCACATGAATTCAGAATCAGGAATAATGGTGATGCCAAACAATCACAGACTGTACATGTGGGTGGCTGAGTGACACCTTTGCTCTCTCATGGTTCAATGTACACAAACTTTGTTTCATACACAAAATTAATAAAATCATTGTTATAAAATTACCTTCAAGCCATGTGTAAGGTAAATGGATAAAACATAAATGCATTTCCTGTTTAGACTTGGGTCTCATTCCCAACATTATCTGATTCTGTGTATACAAATATTCAAAAATCTGAAAAAATCTGAAGCCTGAAACACTTCTGGTCCCAGGCATTTTGGATAAGGAAAACCCCACCCACATGTTGTAAATCCATCCACCTATTTGACATCCTGGATAAGGCAAAACTATGGAGACAGTAAGAAGACTAGTGGTTGCCAGGGGAGTAGGATGAATAGGTGGAACACCTGATTTTTAGGGCAGTGAAACTTTCTATGTGATACAATGGTGGATACATGTCATTATAAATCTGTCAAAAGTCACAGATTGTCCAACACCAAGAGTGATGGACACTATGTAAACTATGGTGATGTTGTGTTAATACCGGTTCATTGATTGTAACAAAAGCAGCATTCTGGTGCCAGGGATATTGATAGCTGGGGAGGCTGTGTGTGTGCGGGGGGACAGGGAATATATGGGAAGTCTCTGTACTTTCTGCTCACTTTTGTTGTGAATCTAAAAGCACTCTAAAATATAACATTCATTCATTTTTAAATTACCATATTATATATTTAGAATATTATAATTATATATTTTATTATGCTAGAGAACTGGTATAAAGAGGTTTGGGAATAAACACAACTGACTTTGATATGCATACAGTTTAACTGGAGGAAGGAAAAGAGGCTTACTAGAGAGTAGTCTACCAGCTGTGAACGTTTAGCTAAAAGCAATCAGTGGGCTGTGGACATTAATCAATATGTTTTACAGTGGGAATGAGAACACTGGCTAATCTTGCCAGGCAGTTAACTGGGGTTCAGTTAAAAACTCTTTCACCGTAGGTTTTTATATGAGAGATGAGAGGGAAAAAGATGAGGAGAGAGAAGAGGCAATTTGGGAGTAATTAAATACTTAGGTTTTGGGGGAGGGTTGGGGTACGGAGAGACAATTAGGGTCTAAACATAAGGCTTGCTGCTTCAAGAGAAGGGCATTAGGAGGGGTGTGTTTGGCTGGGCACCAGGGTGGGGGTGGACAGAAAATATGGCTCTCTAGACCTAAAACTGATAGCCCAGACTCCTATGACTATTATTGATTTTTATTTTATTTTATTTTATTTATTTTTGATATGAGTCTCGTTCTGTCGCCCAGGCTGAAGTGCAGTGGCTTGATCTCTGCTTACCGCAACTCCCACCTCCTGGTTCAAGCAATTCTCTGCCTCAGCCTCCCAAGTGGCTGGGATTACAGGTGCCTGCCACCACGCCCAGCTAATTTTTTTTTTTTTTTTTTTTTTAAGTAGAGATGGAGTTTCACCATCACGGCCAGGCTGGTCTTGAACTCCTGACATCATGATCCACCCACCTCAGCCTCCCGAAGTGCTGGGATTACAGGCGTGAGCTACCACGCCCAGCCTTATTATTTATTTTAAAATGTTGGTAGGCTACCCTAGGAACCAAACTATAGAGAAACTGATCCATTCATTCAACAAATATTATCTACCATCCTGGGCATTTTCTATGCATTGGGAATACAGTAGTCATCAAAACAGGCAAAGATTCTTGCACTCATAGAGCTCACAGTGTACTAGAACAGACAAAAAAACAAGATAAAATAAGTAAAATGAATAATGATACATACTTTGAAGTACCAAGAAAAAACAGAGCAGGGAAAGAGGTTAGGAACAGTTCAAGGAAAGGGGGTGTCTGCAATTTTTTATATACAGAGGCCATGAAAGGCTTCACTGAGATAATCTTTGGGGAAAGCCCTGAAGGAGATGAAAGAACTATGCATGTATGTGGAGAAAGAGTGGCCCTAGCAGAGGAAACAACTAGAGCAAAGGAGTCCACCTGGTGTGACTGAGGAGGTGGCGAATGTGGCTGGACTAAACTAGTGGCAAAAGGAGATGAGGTCTGAAAGCTAACTAGGGCTACTGGAAGGTTTTCAGCAGATAAGGCATAAAATTTAACAGTTTATAGGATCATTCTGGCTGGCTATTTTGAGAACAGACTGAATGAAGGTGGTGAGGGAAAAGAGAAAGTAAGGAAATTATTTGGGAAGCGACTGCAACAAAACAACTGAAAGAATTAGATCAGAATAGCAGTAGTAGAGATGGTGAGAAGTGGTCAGATTCTTAATATATTTTGAAGGTAAAGCTAGTTTCTAAGTTCAAAATAACTGGGAAAAACACCAGGACTAGAATCTATAAACTGTGGCCTGCATATACTTTAACTGTAGTCTTACAATCAGTTTAGTAAAAAAGGGTGAGTTGTACTAACAATATACTACTTACAAATTTTTTGAAGCTAAATATAGTGGGGGATTTTGGTCACAAAAGAAATAATCCAGCCTCCATCTAATGCAAATGCCTAGAGAGTTTATATTTCAACAAACATTTGTTGATCACCTTCATTATGTAACCCAGATGGTGTCTGGTGTTAAGTGATGTGTAGGTTTGCTTTGTAGAATTTTACAGTCTGTTATCTTCCTTGTAGAGACTCTGTTTTCGAAAAATAAAAAGTGAGAAAAAGAGGCCAGAATTAGAAACAAAAATTAATCTTCTATCTTTGTGATTTTCTTCTCCAAATTCCTTATGTGAAACTATATGATTTTTTTGAAGTAAAAATTTTAGAAACTTAAATCAGGTATTTTCTTAAAAATCACAGAAGTACTAGATCATCAAAAGAGAAACTGGTACAGTTCAGATTTTTTGCTAGGCAACTGGATCACTGTATATGCCTTTTGCCCCCTCAATTGAACCTTGATGGAGAACCGTCAATGTTAGGACACAAAATGTGTTGTGAAGAAAAAAACTCCACAAAACCAAAACATCGAGGAATAGTATTTTATATCAGTTTTTGTAAAGCACGGTGTAACACAGGGAAAATAAAAAACACTTTCTCTTCCAAAGCAAAAGTTGTCGTTTTTCAACCAGAGTGCTGCCTTTTGAGGTCACAGTCCACCTCGTTGGCTTTTTCATGGTGCCTGTTGGTCACAAGTTGCCCTTCCTACAGAGGCAATCTAAGCACTGCTTTTATTATTAGTAAACAAGAAGGTGATTGCCCAAGTAAGACGACTTCTGGACCAGTGCCTGAACTAAGAGTTAAAGTAATCCAATAAAACCTGGAATTATTTCCTTAGTGTAAAGTACTTACCCAATTTCCTGGGACATGGGTGTACTATGAAACAGTAAAAAGGTGGGTACATATAAGCTGGAATAGGGAATGCCAGTAAAGCCTTATTCCCTCTAGGAGGCCATGTGATATATGAAAAGGTGTTTTCAGTGACAGTCAATTTTGTATTTGGAGAAAAAGCAAAAAACATAACCAAGCTTGTTAAGTACACAAAATACAAAAAGTTAATGTTCTTGTTTGGTAAAGATACATATGTATACTTTTTACTCACATCTTGGTGCGAGTAAAACCACACCAAGGTATATCATGAAAGGTATATCATGCAGGGTATATCAGAAAAGGGAATTTATGTATTTATCAAGAAGAGTTATGAGTTTTTTTTTAAAGCTGAAAAACAATGTTTTTCAGTTTATCATGTGTCACTGTGTTAGGCATCAAAGATACAGAGGTAAATAAGATTTAAAAAACCCAACAACCCTTATTATTTTACAGTTCATAATCTAGTAGGGGACGTGGAAAGAGGGTAATGGCTGATGTGTGTAATGGTATTTATTTAAATACACGAGAAAAACAGAGAAACAGGAATTGAATGGGTGGGGTAACCGGCTAAAGTAACTGTTAATTATCCTAATAAATTCATAGATGCACTAGAAAGCTGAAGGAAACAGAAAACACCATCTGAGAAAACACCTGAGAAGGACCACACAGCTCTGGGTCCTTACGTGTTTGGAAATCCAGATTCATACTAAGGTAGGTAGCTCTAAAACAATATAATTCAAGGCTGGAGTGTGCGAAAAGCAACGTAATCAGCATACATGGTATTTCCCCCCTTATCTGTCGTTTTTCTTTGGCAGGTGTGTTAACTTGTGGTCAACTACAGTCCAAAAATATTAAATGGGAAGTTTCAGAAATAAACAATTCATAAATTTTAAGTTGTACACTGTTTGGAGTAGTGTGATGAAATCCCATGCTATCCTGCTCCATCCCACCCAGGATGGGAATCCTTCCCTTGTCCAGCATATCTATGCTGTATACACTACCTGCCCATTAGTCACTTAGCAGCCTTCTAGGTTATCGGATCGACTGTGGCAGTATCGCAGGGCTGGTGTTATTTTACTTCACAATGGTCCCAAAGCAGAAGAGCAGTAAGGCTGCCAATTTGGATATGCCAAAGAGAAGCTGTAAAGTGCTTCTTCAAGCGAAAAGGTAAAAGTTCCCGACTTAACAAAAGGAAAAAAATACAAATGCTGAGGTTGCTAAGATCTACAGTAAAGATAAATCTGTGAAATTGTGAAGAAAGAGAAATTCATGTATACCATATGTATAGGATTTGTTACTATCCATGGTTTCGGGCATCCTACTGGAGGTCTTCAGATATACCCCCATGGATAAAGGGGAACTACTGTATGAGAAAGCAGAAGTAACAAAGGTCCCTAGTATCTGAACTCAAACATAAAATTCATAGTTAATAATTCCAGGGAAAGGGTCCTTATTAGTTCAAGGAACACTGCTCCTCTATTTTCTTACATTTTACATGGCTCTTCAGCTCAAACCTGCAGCTGTGAGACAACACTGAAGAGAAGAGGTAGAAAGAATGTTTCTTTCTTTTACAGGCAACAAATCCTAAATCGTTTACCCTTTCAAAAGCCAATGAAGACTGCAAGTAAAAGACAACATGTTTGAGAAGGAAAATTGAAGAACATTTATAAAAACTATAATATAATAAACGGAAATTAATCCCATCAAAGTGTTTTTCATTTTAATCAACTGACTTACAAATTAAATTTGCTTCCTAGGAAGATTTCCTAAAAGAAAAACAGAGGACACTCGATGGCAGAGGAATTTCCTCAGCCAAAAGCTGAAGACAGAAAACTTTAGTCACAGGGAGGCAAAGCAGCTAGTGGTCTTTACTACTCTGAACAGCAAGATGAAATTTAGAGCTTTCCTCACAAGATGAATAGGCACAATTGTAACATGCCTTACAGTTTAAACTGAAAGAAATTTAAAAACTCAGAATTATTTTGCTATATTTTGCCTTTGAAACCTAGTAACAATGCTCAGGACTTCAGAAAGTTACAAATAGCCACAGAATTCAAATTTGACACATTTAAGTTCTACAAGACAGTTTCCTAGGAACATTTCTCCACTGATAACCTACTCAGTATGATAAGACTTCAACTGTCATACACAGAGCCTCAGTTCTCACTCACCCTACCATAGTAATTCAGAACAAGTAGTTAGATTTAATCTTTTATATTTAAAAGCTACTGATTGTTTCTTTTTTTCAAGGTGAAACAAAAAAGAAAAAACAAGTTTAAAACCACATTTGCTGTAACTTTCATTATATCACTTCAAGATTCTTGGGTGTTTAGAGCACTTACTAAAATCTGACAAAATCTGTATTTTCAGCATTGCCTACTGCTGTTCAAAGGTTCACTTAGCCCAGGAAGGAAGGACTAAATCCAGAGAGTAAGAGTCTACAGAACGATTTGTTTTGTTCTTTCAACATTAAATGCACTCACTTGCCTGTGTTAGCAAGTACTTCTGTCATGAACAGAAGTCTACTACAGTACCAAGTAGAGGCATTATAGGAGCATCTGCTTCAATACCCTTATATGCAAAATGGGGCTAAAACTTATTCTATTTACCTCAAAGGGATACCGTGAGGATCAAATATTTCTTTACAAGCTCTACAAACAATAAAAGTATGTGAAAGCTATTTTAAAAATTATATTACAAAGTTATCAATGAAATATTTATGAGAAAGTATATGGATTATATTAAAAGAACAGATACAGGCCAGACATGTTGGCTCATACTTGTAATCCCAACACTTTGGGAGGCTGAGGCAGGTGAATTGCTTGATCTTAGGAATTTGAGCCCAGCTGGGGCAACATGGCAAAACCTCATCTCTACCAAAAATACAAAAATTAGCTGGGCATGGTGGCACGTGCCTGTGGTCCCAGTTACTAGGGAGGCTGGGCTGAGGTGGGAGGATTGCTGGAGCCCGGGAAGTCGAGGCTGCAGTGAGCCATGATAGTGCCACTGCACTCCAGCCTAGATGACAGAGTGAGACCCTGTCATCATCATCATCATCATCATCATCATCATCATCATCATAAATAAATACATAAGAAAAAAGATTGGAAGGAAATACATAAAAATGTTCAAAGTATTGGGAAGCAGAAATGGGTGGATCACTTGAGGTCAGGGGTTCAAGACGAGCCTGGCCAACATGGTGAAACTCTGTCTCTACGGAAAATACAAATTAGCCACGCATGGTCGTGGGCGCCTGTAATCCCAGCTACTCTGGAAGCTGAGGCAGGAGAATGGCTTGAACCCGGGAGGTGCAAGTTGTAGTGAGCTGAGATCATGCCACTGCACTCCAGTGTGGGTGACAGAGTGAGACCCTAAATAATAATAATAATAACAACAACAGATACATAAGAAAAAAGATTGGAAGGAAAAACATCAAAATGTTCAAAGTGTTGGGAGGCTGAGGTGGGCAATCACTTAAAGTCAGGAGTTCAAAACCAGTCTGGCCAACATGGTGAAACCCTGTCTCTACAAAAAAATACAAAAATTAGCCGGGTGTGGTGGCAGGAGCCTATAATCCCAGCTACTCTGGAGGCTGAGGCAGGAGAATCGCTTAAAGCCAGGAGGTGGAGGTTGCAGTGATCTGGGATCGCACCACTGCACTCCAGCCTGGGTGACAGAGCGAGACTCTGTCTCAAAAAAAAAAAAAAAAAAAAAAAGAAGTTCAAAGTAGTTACGTCAGGGTGGTGAAATTATGAATAATTACTTTCCAATCTTTGTTTTAAACTCAACCTTCAGCAGTATGGTTATGTTACTTTAAAGAAAGAGGAAAAGTGCCATCAAAGATCACAGATGTTTTAAAATTAAATTTTAATTTCACATGCAATACTTGGATAGTTTCCTTTTCAAAAAAATATGGCTACACGTAGAGCTAAAATTCCCTTTTTGCCAGACTCTCCATACTCCCCTTTCCATACAAACACCATTAGAAGGGGTTCTAACTCCAGCCTGGGTGACTGAGCAAGACACCGTCTCAAAAACAAACAAACAAACAAACAGAAGAGTTTCTAGCTTATTGCTGAAAAAATGCCTTAAAGATAGTTGCTAATGATATATTCTTTCTCTCTCTCATCAGAATTAGCACTACAGGGCAGAGAAGAGTAAATAAGCATGTTTAACAGGCAGAGTAAGGGCACAATTTATAAACCTCATGCTTTATATTAAAAATTCCCTTAAATTCTTCATTCAGTTTTATAAAGCAGTATTTATTTTAACAAAAATTAATGTTTTAAATTGCATGAGGCCAGAACAAGGATCATGTAGCCTCAAAACAATATTTCCCCATGAGTGCAATAACACACAGCACAGATTCGGTTCATTTTCTTGACAGATAACCGACATATTTTGATACTGAGGGGAAAAAAGTGCTGTGACTTCCTTATTGAATATCTCCACTATATAGCAATAGATTGAGAAGTTGTAACTCAATTTATATCCTGTTAACTTTCCAGATAAGTTACATGAAAATACACTGAAATTACCAAACAAGAATACCATTTAATTATGGGAAAACAGACCATGAAAATGAACATTTCCTTAAGAGGTTTAACTCTGAAAATTACAACACATCTGAGACTGTTATATGTACATTCTTATGCCACTGGCAGGAAAAGTAACAAGCTTTTGATAAGTTGTTGTTTTACTTCTTGCCAATATACCTTAAGATAAACCTAAAATGTAATGTGTTTGATTCATCTCTAATTCCAGTGGCATCTCTGTGCCTTCAGAAATTGGACTCTAAACTGCCTTACATGAAAAAGAAAAGTTATTGGTACTCTTAAGCTCATCATTACAACATTTTTCCACAGAATCTTCTCTGGAGGCATTTATTCTTACTAGAAACTCTCTCCAAATATTTAATTTGGCCCTGGGTGTTTAGTAACATTAGAATATTTAAAAGACAAAATTGATAAATTACAATCAAGACATAGTAATGTGAGCTATGAAGAAAAATAGCTTACCTGTGATTTCTACAACGAATTCACTCAAAATCTGGGGAGAAAAAGCCTCTCAAATATTTGATAAAGGATGATGTGCAGCATAAACTACAAGGAGACAACCTGAGGCAGTAGGAAGAGCTCTGAATCGAAGTCAGGAAATCTGACTTTGAGTTCAGGATATGCTACCAACTAACTGGTTTCTGGGATCACTAAACGACTCTGGCTCAAGTTTTTTCACCTGTTAATGAAGAACAAAATCAACTTCAAATTTGTTTAGTTGTTAGACTACATAGAATACCGAGAAACAGTATATTTAATTATATGAAATAGAAATACTAACAAACTAGCAGAAAATAGGAATATATTAAAAATTCAATACAAAATCACAACCATAAACATATATGTACACAAACACAGAGTTCTCTAAGCATGGTATGCATTTCTGAATTCTGTTCATATTTATTTGCTATTTGGGAGGGAGTCTCAGTTTATATTGAGGGCTCTGGAGTCAGACTGCCTAGATTCCAATCTCATATTTTACTTATTAGCTGTGGAACTTGGGCAAGCTAGTCAAAAGCTCTGAACCAATGTTTTCCTATCCTATAAATGAGAAGAGCAATAGTATATACTATAAAGAAGTTATCTCAAGAACTAATCTGTGTAAATAAAGCAAGTAGTATGGTGTCATCATATAGTAAGAGCCTAATAACAACAATGATAGCAATAATTGCAGCAAGAATTTATTGCTTACTAAGTACCAGGCACTATTTTAAGAGCTATACATGTATGATCCCACTTAATCCTCACATCCACCATATCAAGTAGATATTATCATTAGCTCCTATTTTATAGTGAACAAACTGATCCACAGAGGGGTTAAGTAACTTACTCATGTTTAACTGTGATAGTCACTATGGCTATTCAAAAATATTTAGATCTCCTTTCAGAAACATAAGAGGAAACTTCCTCACTGCCTCAGAGAAGACACAAGGCCCATGTAACTCATGGGCAATGACAGTGAGTGACATATGATTCCTCTGGGCAGAAAATCTGAGTCTATAAGCAATTTGCCATGTTTCCCTCCCCTGAATACAGTGACTGTGAAAGTATATATTGTGATGGAGTTTACATCAGCCTGGTTGTCTAAGTGACCACAAATAGCATAGCCCCATGTTGACCCACTTTGTACAAATAGCATTAAGTGAAGAAAGAAAGCCACTGAGATTTTGTGGTTGTTTATTACCACAGCAATATAAATAGCAATAACCTAGCCTATCCTAACTGACACTTTCTCAGTTAATAAATTTCAGATTTAAGTATCATTATCTACTTGTTTATAGTTAATACCCAAAGTTTCAAAATAAATTATGGAAGAAAATAGTACATTTCTATCCATATAGTTCTTTTTGTGTGTGTAAACCAACAAAAGTTCGCTATTATCTAGTTTAATACTACAATTTAAGAATTACCGGTCTAAATGTCTTCATGATCTTAGGCTAGGCAAAGGTTTCTTGAAGAGGACAAAGCACTAACCACATTAGAGAAAAGTGACAAATTGGAGTCCACTACAGTTAAGAATGTCTGTTCATCAAAAGATCATGTTAAAGGAGTAAAAAGGCAAGCCACAGACTGGGAAATTGTATTTGTAATACATATATTCCCTAAAGACTCATATTTAGAATATACAAAGAACTCCTAAATA